GGGGTTTTTTTTTTTTTTTTTTTTTTTTTTTTTTTTCCCCGGGATACTCGGATATATTGTATTATACACTATATAATAACGACCGCCGCGTTTATGTAAATGTCCCGAGTCGTGCGGATAAGGTATACGCTAAAGAAACGAAAATGTGTGAAAATTGAAGCTCGTGATGACGCTAGCGGTCAACCACTGTGGGGTGTCATCTATCTGCGTGCGCGTGTGTTTGTATATACGTAGGTATAGTATAATATATAAATCTCGATCACGCGGGTCCGGTCAGAATCGTGGCTTGATATTCTTCCAATGTACCGGGTCATCTCGAGTTGTGCGTATGTGTGTGTGTCAGCGCGCGTGCATGAGTATGTGTGTGATAACACGAAACCGACATGAAAGAACGAGAACAAAAAAAAAATATATAAATACGGGGGGGGAAAAAAATGAAGATATGAAATAAAAAATAAAAAAATAAAATGCCCGTGAAGCTATACGCGCGGGTCCGACCCGTTATTATGCTCACGTGCGTCACCACGCTGCACGAACAGCACACAGACTCCGGTGACAATAATCAGTTCGTGGGTATCTCTCAATAATAAAATTATTATCATTTTAATGCATGTTACGTATATATAGACAGGCGCTGTAGAAAACCGACCGGTTTTGTTTTTTATTCACTCCGGATATTCGTACGAGTTGAGTGTTTAAAATAAAAAAAAATAAATACGTATATTGTTATTGTTTTCGGGTTTGTTCGGCCCGCATAGAATCCGCCCCCCCCCAAATCGGAACCAATCCAATAGTTATTTCTATCCGTCGTCAAATCATTCCGATTCGGTGCACCTCCTGTAAAGCTCAAGCGTTTTTTTTTTTTTTTTTTCACTGTACGCACACAGTCTTCCCCGTCGCCCCGCACAGGTCCGTTTCGACCGTCTCAAAAAAGTCCGAATATAGCGCACGCGTGTGTACGACGTACTTTTTCTCCCCCGTGCGGAAGAAATTTCGCCGCGAGACGTGTCGTCGAGCGGTTACGGAAAACCTGCGGGCTCGCGATTTAATCGTCTCGATCGGAAATCGCGGTTGCGGCCGACACGATTTCTGGCGCGATCGTGTGTTTGAACGCTACGCGCGGAATTTCGAACAGTTGTTTTTTTTCTACTCTTTCATCGTTTATAATAATAAAATAAAAATGATTTTTTTAAGACACGCGCGAGCCGCCGCCGCCGCCGCCGCCGTGCCGTATAACATTATAATGGCTTTTGCCGCGCCGGTGCAAAATCGTACACGTGTACGTGTAAAATTATGCCGCGCTCTCGTTTCGCGTTCGCGTTTCGTTCACGTGCCTCGCGTAAATCTCGGGGCGTCTTTTCGACACCGTCTCTGCGGCCGTTACCGTGCCGGACGAGCCGTCGCGAAATGGAGGAAACGCGGCCGAAACGGCCGACGACCGTCCGCGCGATAAGGATTTCGATTCGGCCGCCATAATATAATCCGAGTGTACGGGCAAATAGCCGGGTCCGCGTGTACGGGATTCGGGCGAGCAGCACGCCGATTAACCGAAACGGTGACCGAGCGCGTGGTCCGAGTCCGGGCTATTAGTCTGTTATTTCATTGCGTGTATCGGGGACGAAAACGGAATACAATTTCCTTGGGGTTCGCCACTGCAGATCCATACAACTCGACAATACGTTCCGCCATATGCATATGCCATACAAACCTCACGGCTATTTATACATAAATTTGTTTCTGTAGTACTTATGGTTATACTTTACGGGAATATTAATTCTTCGGTGGAAAAAAAAATGGGCCATGGAATATAATTCCTTGGGCCCCTACACGTGTGGTCCCCCACAATTTCGGGGGTTAAGCGCCTTCATCACTCGAGTTTATCCGGACCTGCCAGCACATCGTTCGAGTATGGAAAAACTAGAAGGAAAAAAAAAACGGCGTTGGTGATGCGGACGTGTTTATATAAACACATCCATATTTCGTGTTTGCGAGATAATAGCGCGGCAGATACATCAAAGGGAATTTCAGAGACTACCGCGTTTTTATTGTTCGGCCCGACGGAAATATCGAAATTATCCGACTACATTCACGGACAACAATAAAAACTATGGAATACACTAAATACAATGTGCACGGCGGCGATCGTATGCGATGTCATATCGTGCGACGTGCTGTGTTCTCCGTGATGGCGAAGGATATGCGCCTTAAGAAGAAAAGCATTTACGTGATACTATCAAACAACTAGTGTTGAGCAAAAGTTTGATCAATCGGCCGACCGGATTACAAAAAAAAAAAAAAAAAAAAATAAAAAAACCGAAACGGTTTCCTCATGTAAACTCAATTATTATATGATTTAATCTGGGCATCTGACGTTCTGGATGAATCGGCAGAGGAAAAAAGTAAATCAAATGTACCAGCGACCTATACCAGTTACCGGATAATTCGAATGAAACCGAATTGAATTACAGAGTTTGTTTTGCACAGTTAATAAATTGAAACGACTGTAAAATGCATAATAGAAACCGTGGCGTTTAGGTTGAAATCGGAGTTTAAACACGCGGGTAATGAAATTTACAGTCGGCTAAAAAGGTTACGGCTGCTATTTACACTGAAATTTCAGTGCAAGTTACAGTTGTTTTTTTTTTTGTTTAATAGCTGTTGTACTTTTGTGTTTGACAATATTTTAGAAAAATAGCAACGCGTATGCAGCAGCCCCCACGTAAATGTTCTTCTCTTTATGTGTTTTGTGCTCGTGCGTTATGTACAATAGATATCTCGCGTGACAGCAAATTTATCATGGCGCAACATCGTTTATTTGCAAGTAGCGAAGGGGGAGAGGGAACGTATCCTCTGAGTAAATCCTCGAAATTTGCTCCGTGCCCTCGAACGGCATACACGCGCGCGCTTTTTGCCCGCGACACGTTCTGCAAAAGGTGCGAATTAAATTCGGTCGGTCCGGACACAATTTGAGCGTATATTTTCGATATTAGTTCGTCTACCCGTGCGTATAAATTATCATTTCCGATACACGTATTGTAATAGCACGGCGCGGTTATTCGGACCGAAAAACACCGAGACGCAACCGTAAACTGCGCGGCGGACTTTCAAAGAAATATACTCGTATTATTATGGTTTTTCTTTTTCGTCCGTTCGTTTTGTGACGTGCCATCATAATATTATTATAATACGGTGGTCATGATAATATTATGACCACTCGACCATTATTGCCGTCGCCGTCGCCGCCGCTGCGGCAGTAAAACCGCGTTGACATTATACATTCACATATTAGACAGAAGAATAGAAATTTAACCTCGTTTTTTTCCCTCTATAATAATATATACGTATTTTTTATTTTTTTATTTTTTTTATTTTTTTTCAACCGCTTTATCAATCATGAAATCGGAATAATATTTGCGTTTTTCTACGACCAGAGAAGGAAATAAGAAAAAAAAAAAAAATTAAGAAATGGACGACAAAGTGAAATAAATCATTTTGCTTTCGCGCAAATAAACTCGGATGAACCGACCGCGTACTGCATTATATATATAAAAAAAAAAACAAAACAAAAAAAACAATGTAATAACGCGTGCACGCGCAGTGCATATAGTCGGTTACGATACGGGGACGATAAATCGTCGTCGTCGTCGCGCGCGCAGAGAAAACGTTGGCAAAAGGCGCTGCGGTTCGCGTTTTTACGTAACGGACGATTTTTTTTTTTTTCAAATTATATTTTCGAGTTAACAACAGTATCCACGCGAAAATTCGGTCGACAAAATCGACCGCGCACACACGATAATATAACGAGAGGCGGCCGAAGAACAGGGTGCAGGACTGGACGTTTGTCCGCGAGACCACGGCGTTTCTGAAGAACTTCGAAACCGATATAAATCTCTCCGGGCATTAAAAATTTGGATTTTAGCCAGAAGCGGCATAGTTATTAACAGGCGACCGTCAGGTCTTAAAATCCGCCTGTACCCGTACGTAGGTATGCAATCCGGACCGCGTCTCGACAAATTGTATGTTATATTATACAATTTTTCATTCGCGTATTTGGATTTAATTTATTATTTTATTACACAACGCGTGCAAGTTTTAGCGCAATTACTCGCCGATAACGTCCGAAATTCTTTGATGGTTAGGTACTCGATGATTTCTCCAGTAATCGGACACGATTCAAAGGCCTCGCGTACGACCCGGCGGCGTGTTCACAAACCGTATCCGAGTTCGGCCCGAACGGTATATAATATGCAAATGAGCGAGACTCGGCACGGTTTTTCGTCCACTGGGTTTTAAGCACACACAGGTCATTGTGAATTATTTTTTCTCGGAGCGGGTTTGGACCAACAAGTTTTGGTTATGTGTTTTGTAAAACTTCCGAAACCGACCAGGTTACGTTTGGGCTAAGGCCAAACTCGGATAGGGTCTGCATAGATACTCTGCCCACGCCGTCCTTGATGATATTTGCGCATTTTACCGCCGCGCGTTTGTTGACTTGGCACGTGTCCGCGGGTCCGTCACCGTCGCCGTAATAATATTAAATCTCCTCTTCAACCGTACAGCCAGATCATCATGCGCGTACGCCATAAACACGTATAATGACACGTATAAGTAAATATTTTGAATACACTGCATTAACGTGTAAAAAAAAAAAACAAATGTGTTCCTCGGTTGATAATTTGTACTTTCGGGTCTCGAACTATACGCGAATTAATAGTTTGTTGCGTCATCAAAGTTGTTCGCGATCGTTAAGTAAAAAAAAAAAAACAAATGTGTTCCTCGGTTGATAATTTGTACTTTCGGGTCTCGATTGAACAACAATACGCGAAAACGGGTTCCGCGTGTACGTGAATGAAAAGTGTGTGATCGCGTATAATACTCAGCACACGTGCATTTAATATTCGTGTTCGCGTGTTTTAGTGCGATTCACGTGAATAACGGAAAAATAACGTGAAATACGTGAATATAGGCGTCGGTGCGGTATCGGTTTTACAGATTCTAATGTTAATTTCACGGGAATACGTGAAAGCGTGTACACGTGAAATAGGGAGCTCTATAGTTTGTACACGTAACTCGAGCACATCGTTTTCGAGATGCGCGTGAGCCAATGGTTCAAAACAGTTGAAAACGAACACCGACCGCGCAGGAATCGAATGTCCTTATATACCGTTGCACCTACATATTTCCGACCATGTCAGTTTACCGAGCTCCGCTCAAAATCGTTTTTTGATCGCAATGATTCATCATCGATTTCGGTAAATATAATTGCATACGTTACATATCCTTAACATTATTAGACACCTACTTATAATGTAGGTGTTTTGTCGTTTTACATTCTGAATGTATTTTAAATTGATGGCCATTATTATTAAACTCGCGTTTCCAGTGTACCTATATATTTTTTATAACGCCATCGTATTTTTATGATAATAATCTGATAAAATACATTATATAGTAAGTGTATATAATATATTTTAAACAACGGCAATCAATTTATTCTTGCGCAAGCGTAATGGAGGAAAAAAAAATGTAAGTATCTATAATTTATAGCAATAAATATAATAATGCTATAGTTAATTTTGCAGAGAGCAATTATGGGGAAAATTGGACCTTGTATAATTTTCTATACTATAGTTTCGTAAATTGTGTGGCTACAACGATTTCTTAAGGACGTTCGGAGTGTAAATTAGTCGATTCGCTATTAAAAAAGGGGAGGGGCAAACGTTATCCTTCGTATTCTTAATTGGTTGTTTTTTTTCTACCTTTAAGATCAATGCGTCATTATCGCAGCGGTAATTTTTTCGGATTACGCTTCCGATTAGAATATTAAAATTCTGTGGCCGTCCCTATATACCGAATAAAAGAAAACGCCGTTACGGGCAAATAGCGTGTTTATATCGCGATAATTATATTATTCGATTTTTTTTTTATTACTATTTATTTTTCTTTCCAAAAATTACGACTATACTGCACGGTATGACGCGGATTTTCATCGATGAATAATAATAACGTTATTTCTGTAGCTGCGGGCAAGAAGAGGGGAAAAAAAACCGAACAATTTCTAGTCTTGAACAAATAACAAAATACACGGGTACATTGAAATTTCTCCGAGTGCTTTTTTTTTTTTTTTTTTTTTTTCAATAAACAATAATCGCATAATTGTTACGAGTTTTACACGTGCGGCATATGTCGCCCCTCGCGCCGAAAGTGTAATAATACAATATATTCGACTCTTTGTTGACTGCAGACGCATTCGAAATAATAATAAAGTCATTATATAAGTACCCGGTTAAAGTACACTGGAAATACACGTCAACGTAATAATGTAATGTACGGCCGTTACGCGCGCAGACAACACACCGTTTCCGTTTTGGACGATAATGGAAAGGAAATAAGTATATCGCGCGTATAAGGTCGCGTTGATTATTATGTATTTCACCGAAAAACCGTGTGTATATAACATTACAGAACACCAAAATATAGGTTTTTTTTTTTTTTTATATTATTTTCGTAAGAAATCCTTGCGACGGCGCCATCGCTTTGTGCCGCGGTTATACCTATTATTTGTCCGTTGATTTTTTTTCGAAAATAAAACAACTGAATAAATAACAAAAATAGATAGTATACATCATATCCACACGGTGCGTTATCGAGTTTTTCGGCGAAATAATTTTATGAAACGGATAGGTTAGGTTTGACGAGAACGCGTAACAGGGCGTTTTTTAAAAGTGGGTTTTGGAGGACACGTTTGGCCCGCCGTGCTCATGCCCACCCCCTCCCGCCGGCTACGTCACCGATCGAAAAGCAATAAATAATAATAAAATATATTGATGTGCCGCATAATTAAACGTTAATACTCGTGTTATTATTGTTGATATCCGATATTCGTGAAAAATTCGGTAAGTGACTATAATCGATTTACTTCTATTCATATTAAAAAACCGTCCCGACAACCGTTTCACGAAAGTTAACCCGCACAGCGTATGTACTTAAAACAAATTATTACGTCATGTGTAAAATTACGATTTCCGTATCACGAAATTAATAACATATGCGGCCATTATATATGAACTTAAAAAACAGCTTACACGTCACGATCAAAGTTAATGAAACGGATTCCCGATAATAGCTTATTGTGCGCGAGTCAAAATGGAAATGAAATACACGAGCTGCAGTTATTTTTTATATTTCACCGTTCGTCTGTTATCTGCAGTTAGATTACTAAGTATAAAATTGCATTATTAATATACTGTATTGCAATAATAATTAATGTCTACAGGTACATCGTAGACCCGTATAAAGAACTGATACGGACTGATGGCAGACCGCGTATGGAAAGAGAGAGCTGAAAAAAGGATTCAGTAGCGTATATTATCGTGTTGCAGGCCGTCCCTTTCTAACAAAATTGGTACTGACATAACACAACCCGAGAGTGGAACTGCTAGGTACGGGGAGCGCACCGCAGTCCAAAATATTAGATTGATAATTATTAATATGCTTGTGTACGTTTAACATATGGACGAAACAACCAAAACAATTGTAAATTTTTTTTTTTTTATGTGCTGCGATCGTGTCGCGTTTTTCGCGGCTAAATATCGTTACACTTTGGGCCCGGCGAAATTGTACACACCTCCGTGGACACCCGTCCGTGCCACCCATCTGCAGTGCTACCTATGCATTACACATATTGCAGGGTATTATACCGGCGTTTTTGTTTAAACGAAAAACAGAAAACACTATACGACGAGTCAACACGCCTTCCCTTTGCGCAGATCTACAATAATAATAATACGCCACCCTCGTTGTATACCAGATACCTATATAATACGCCTAATATACGCAACCGGTGTAGTGCAGCCGCGATGACATCCGACCGGGCCAGAAACACGTCACGGACAATTAATGTCTATTGTGACGACGACGACGACGTGCCTGCGGGCTGTCGGGTGGTAAGAAAAAAATTACTAGACAAAAAAAAAAAAAAAAAGAGGAAGAAAAACGGAAGACAAAACCCTCGCGAGAATGCCCGAATATTACACAATCGCGTCGATTACCGCCCGGCGATATTAATTATCGCGACGATTGCCGAAAACCCACTCGCGGCGGTAAAACTTGTGGGTAACAAAGTAAATTCCGCGTGTAGGATTTATCGGAATATTATTTTTCCGTAAATAAATAGTGGTCGTTGTTACTGTTAACTATATTATAGAATATAGTTCAGCCAAATAATTCTACTGTATACGTCAACGATTTTCAAAAAAAAAAAATGTACACAAGAAAGGAAACACTGTAAATCGTATGGGATGAGTATATGGAAATCAATAGGAATGTGATTTGATGAACAATATTGTCGGTTTAAAAAAAAATAAATAAAAATACTTTTGTCTATATAATTATAATCCCCGAAAGGACGAAATCAAATAGGTGTACGTTAAAAGACCGACCCTTGTTGCCGTCGGTGTATCCAGTGACAGAGACATGAACGGCTACAACGACAAGGCTTGGACGTTAGAAGCTGACGACGGTGATACGATGAACGTGAAATAACAATAACTTTTACTTAGACAATCATATTTTACTGCGATTATTATGCATTGATTTATTTTATTTTTTTTTAGATTCTAAGTGAAACGAAAAATGTATTGATTAAACTATGACGGTTTTTTTGTGTCTGTAAATAACTTTTCTACCAAAAATGTTGGTTCATTCAGAATGTAATTTTTTGTTTTTTCTTGTAGTTTTCTAAATAAATCGGAATACTGGAAAATTTGTATGCATCATTTTTGTTGATTTCTGGATTTCCTTTATTGGCAACAAGGGAATAATACGAATAATAAAACTTTTTTCAGAGTTGTTTTTCATTAGCAGTGGTTTATCGTTATAGATATAAATAAAACTACACTTTAAATGTCCGCCCATTCTAAAACAGTGGCGCACTGTTTGAGGGCACATTCATCAGTAATATCAGATTTTTCTTTAGACTGAAAATTATTCATCTTTTAACTTCTACACTTTTAATAGCATGGCGTGATAATTTAATAAATATAATTGACATCTTCTTGAAAATAACTGGACACATTTTTAAAATTCAAATAATATAATTTCCCTTTCATCGCGTATTTAGTTCGAACGTTATAGTTTTTGGAATATAGATAATTTATATATTTGACAATTTTCGATGGCTATACAAAAAAAAAAAAATATTATACTTATACATTCTTTGAAAATTAAATTTTTAAAAAATCACGTGTTTAATTCGAATCAGGGAGCCTGAAAGTTTGAGCAAATTATTCATACACTACATACATACAACTATAATACCTATTAGTTGCATACATTTATAATATTTCAGCAATAATTTATCGAAATCAATCGGTAAAAATCGTTAATTCGGATTTATATAACATAGGATCTGTAATAATAATAATAAAAAAAAAAAAAAGGGAGAAAAAAAATCCGTCTCTGCGGCAGTTACGAATGACCGGAAAAAGACCGATGACGGTTACGCAATTAATTGGATTTTCCATCTGGGACGGGTTTCCACTATACAGAGGTAGTATATATAGTAGGAAAATTTAATCTGCCACTTTCTCTTGAGGTTTTTTTCTCATTCATTTCCTCCTTATACGTACACTTTTATAACGCACCTTTTTTTTTTTTTTTTTTTTTCAATCAACTGATTGTGCTGCAGTTCTTTTGCGGTTTTCCGCACATTTTTTTCTCTTCCCCTTCACAGTACAACACACATACACAATTCGATTTTTCATCAACAAACACTTTACTATTATAATATTATAATGCGACTTTAATGCATACATGTATGTATACTATTACGGGTTTTTCTATTTAAAAAAAAAAAAAAAAAAGTCAAATCGATAGATCGGATATGATTGCCGGCTTTATAGTCGTAAATTTATTATTATTCATAACATTAAGGTTATTTCAAACAAACTGAGCATTTTACTTCGTATTTAATTTTTTATTTTCGAAACATATATTTTAGAAAATTATTTTTATTTACAGACCAGATGCGGTGGTTCAATCAGGTTTGTTTTTTTGGTTTTTTGCTCTCGGAGTTATGCAATTTTAGGTTTTATTTTACATATTTATACTGTTTTCTGAATTTTTTATATTGTCAAAAAAAAAAAAATGAAATAAAATCGGTTCTACGATAATTATATTAATTATATACCTATATATTACTCTATATTAGTTTACACAAGTGTGCCAATTAGCCCTCGAACTAAACAATACAATCAAATAGTTACTTATACTTTACAGTATAATGATGAATGTTTAAAATAATTAAATCCGATTATAAGCCTGTTGATGTCAATATGTATATTGTTTAAAGATTTTCTAAGATGCAATTTATTTACAACGTATTTATAACCAATATATTCAAATAAGTACATCCGTCACTCAATTGACTTTCAATAAGTTTAAATCAAAACTTGAATATTTTCAAAAAATGTTTTGCCGGTATGTTCGGTTTTACGAGTTTGATATTCGTTTAGGAGGGTAGGGCAATAACCAGATAGCGCCGATATTTCGATAATTTTTTATGTATAAAACAATATTGAATTCTCGTACATTTTCTGGTACAAAAACGAAGCGAACCCGATTATCCGCATTACATATTCCCATAACGAAATGCTGGTCGAAAAAACTATCGTTATAATACAATCCCAAACGTTAATAATAAAATATTCCAAATTACATCTATGGGTTTTTTCAGTAGCTCTTTTTTTTTCGGGGAGGGAGGGTTTAAACGGGATCTATCATATACAGCCGATATAGCTATACATCCAGAAGCGGACATTTTTTTAAAATTTTTTATTGTTGTTTTACCAAAAAGTTTCGAAAAACGCAACTGCTCGCGCGTACCTGCAGCAATAACATCATACAATCCGACGGTTATTGCGGGCACACGGCTCACAAGCGGTCATTGTTTTGCCGGCGTAATTTTTTATACTTGTATACGTGTTAATCGTAACAGAAGGCGCGTTGTGTTTTTTTATATTATTTAGAGCTCGCGTTCGGTATGTTAATACACCATAATAGTCACGTCGGGTGCGGGCGATGTGCGAGTTTCGGCGACGCTATTTGTTACACTGCGGCGACGGACCGCCGGACGATACTCGTGGTGACGACGAGGGGACTATACGCACATAATATAATATTGTGTACAGGTACTGTCTACCCATACCTAAAATAATATATCGTCATCAACCGGCGGGTAACCCGTAATTATCGGTTTTTTTTCGTCCTTGGCGTCTGTGCAATGTCAGAGCGCCCGGCGGCAGCTGCTGTCCGGCTCTGATAACGGCACGAAACCACTACGCGGGTATCATACCTACATGCGTATATATACATATGAACTGTAGCATCCGGGTACAGCGCACATTAGAATTTTTTATCATGACAATAAACGCGCTCGGAGCGAACGGGGTTGACGTTCGGAATGTCAA